TTGGTACTCTTTGCAGATGGACATATGCTTCTGGAGGTTTGATGTCCCTGATTTGGTAGCACATGAGAAAATTTTCTGACAATAGTGGCAGATGCATCTGTCCCGATTTTCTTTGGTTCGTGTGAAATGCTTCCAGACACCAAACCTTGGCACAACGAATTTCATCACCTTCTTTGACCGAGAAGAGACACTAGAAGTTTCATAAGTGACATTCTTTGTTAGAATTTTTATTCAAATATCATATGCATATAACAAAGCGTAGAATAAATAAAACAAAGGAAAAAAAAACTGAAAATAAGTTACCTGTGACTTGTGAAACCTATATGTCAGTTGTAAGTGACACTCTTTGTTTGGTTGTACGAAGCATGTTTATCAAAGTTTGTTTCTTCTTCACATACATCTCAACGACGTCTCTGGTTGCAGTCCTTCACGAGTGTGGCTTGTAGAGGTTTACATTGCAAGTGTAAATAACAAATGTATTAGTAATTTTTCATGTAAAAAGAAGATAAAAAATGGTAAGGGTTTCTTAAATAGATTACCTTTCTGCAGAAGTGTTTCTAAGCACTGCTTTCAATAAATGAAAGAGGCAGTTCTCCTAGCACAATCAGCTCATTAGATGCCTCTCTAAAAACAGCCTCTAGAACTTTTTGATGACTTCAGATTGCCATCAGTGCTAATCTCTATATGGTTCGTACCTTGACTTGTTAACCATGATTGATACTCTTTGCAAATGGACAGATGCTTCTGAAGGTTTGATGTCCCTGATTTGGTAGCGCATGAGGAGATTTTCTGACAATAGTGGCATGCATCTGTCCCGATTTTCTTTGGTTCGTGTGAAATTCTTCCAGACACCAGACCTTGGCACAACGAATTTCATAACCTTCTTTGACTGAGAAGAGACACCAGAAGTTTCATTAGCATCAATGGCCTTCCCTCGGTTTTGAGTTCGTTGGTACTCGGCTCCTTCAACTTGAACATCAACGTCCATGGATTCTTCAACAGTCTGTGGGATTCTAGAGGATGATGAAACCATCTACAGGAGTATGAGTAACAAAATTACCATCAGTGACATAAAAAAACATATTTATAGCCGTAAAACAAAATTAGTTTACTTGTGATGTTTGTTCTTGAGACAAAACCGTAAGTACAAGTACAACAAATAGTACAAAACAAAACCGTAAGTTCATGAAACAAAACATAAAGCAAGATAAAAAAAATTTGATGCTTGATTACTATGAAACAAAACACGAAATTTGTATCTTAAAATAACCTATTATTACTCATGAATCATGATGCTTGATTAATACGAAACAAAACATAAAAATTTCTATCTTAAAAATTCAACAAAAACGCAAAAACCCGAAACCAAGAAAAAAAAATTAAAAGAAGCATCGAGTACTCTGTAAATGGAGGAGTACCTTTGCTTGATTACTCGAGTTATGTGATGGACGATGATGATACCAGAGGTATATATATAGTATCTTCGACTTAGGGTTTCGGTTTCAAATCGAGGAAGAGAATCGGATACGATGTGAGAAAACAGTTGGAGATGTGATAGGATTAACAGAGATAGGAAATAATTTCGGTGAGAATATCTAGGGAGATCGAGATTTAGGAAATGTTTCATGATTCTCTCCTTGAAGATCAAGAGAAATCTAATTTTGAATGTTTGAGTATCGATAGGAAAAGAGGGGTTAGGTTTAGCAATTTTGGATTACGGGTGTAACCAATCGGACTCTCGGGTTTTATCCGCTCCGACCCGACACCCGACATTCTCAATAAATCAGGCCCATTCAGTTTTTTAAACAGATCTGGTCCCGACCCATACCACTTTAAACGGACCGGGTTCGGTTTAGGTAATCGGGTTCGGGCCTTTTGCCCTGGCCTATGCATTATAGTACATTACTAATCATCAATAAAGATGCTACTCATGTAGAATCGAGAAGATCACACCAAGTAAGGTCAGAGCCAAACATAAAAACTCTGAGTCCACCAAAGGTCAAGTTTGGATAGGTAAGAATGTTAGAAAACTGACCCGTAGGGCTTGAGTCGTTACATCAATGATCTTAACAGAGTCGTCCAAAAGATACTTCTTCAGAATTTTTAGCAGTGAGATAAGGGTTTCATCGGATATGCCATTCTGAGTAAAAGAACTAACTTTTGATCCTTTATTATGGCTAACAAATTGAAGATCATGCATGGATCCCAACTCCCCAGGAAGATGGAAAATAACAGTGTAGGGGTCCCCAATACCAATCTATACTTTAAACAAAAGATAATGAGACCAAATAGTCAAAAAATTTAAGTAAGAGATACTGACCACGAAAGAGAACGACAGATACTCTGGAAAGAAAATCTGATGCCAACAATCTCATACTATCTGCCTCGTCTGAAGCAGACACGTGAACAAGAGTTTAAACAGCATTTACAATTTCATCATCAGAATGCCAAAAGCTATCTCTAGTTTTGACATTTGACTCTCCTTGAGAAGCTTCTGTAGCTATGAGCTTGTTGTGCAGTGCTTGGAGACTGCAAGGACATGATAAGTTGATAAACTGCAGCAGTTTGATAAAGAAATATGACTAATGGGTAGTATATTCGGTAAAAGCTTCATCGGGAGTGTTATCACATTGGCAAAATTGAAAGACAAACAATCTCTGCTTTGTAAATTAACTTATATAACAGACACCTATATCAAACATTCACTCAAGAGCCCAATCATCAAACATGCAAAAAAGTACCTCAGACATCGACACGTCCTAATAAAAATAAAATAACCAGAAACGAATTACAGGAAGTGAAACTTTTTTTATCCCCTTGACTGATGATTCTTTGCATAATTAGAAAACACACAGTCAAAAATAGAAGGAACCATACTTATTCTTAATTCTAAAGTTAGCATCCCCCGCTGGAACTTAGGGTAGCCTTACTACATATCACCGAATTAATGATTAACTAACAAAAGATAGAATGATACCTCCAGGAAAGGAATCTTGGTGGAAGATAACATGATTTTCTGGCACACTGTTGTAGCGGAACATGAAAAAACACACAAAAATGGTTAGTGGTGAAATTCCAACAACAATGTAATTATCAAAAAAATCAGTGTTTTTGACCTTCAACAGACGATTCCTTGTAGAGTAGCCTTCGCATATCCTGACGTGTGATTTACGAATGACACGAAAATATTCCGTATCGGATAATGGTTCTAAATCCTGAAAAAGATGACAAATCAAAAAGCATAAATTTCTAGATGATTCCTGGCAGTGCGAGGACAAAAGGAAGACGAATTTAAAAGTCGACGGCCTACTCTTATATCTTCATGGAGAGAAGGTTCTGAATTAACAATTAGCTTGTGGAGCAAATTTACTAGTTGAGATGACTTAGAACCAGAAACTTTGGGTTTCGCTTCTGCATCTTTGCAGCATGTAACTAGCTATGAGACCAAAAACTAGAGAGTAACCAACCAAAAAAAGGTAAACAATCTTTTCTCAAAGTAATAAAAGGTGGAACAAAATAATAGCATTAAGTACGCATACCTGAAGTTGGTCACCTAGTACACTAACAGTTTCTTTGGCCGGATTGCTTCTGAACGAATCCAGTAAACATGAAGCTATACTACAACATTGGTCTTGTAATGAGGGGAAGGCGATAAATGGTCCAACAAGATTGAATATATAACAGAAAGAAACCACAAGTTAAAGTAGTTCTTCAGAGCTCAAAAATGGAGATTCATCCTTCAATGCAGTTTATTAGCAGAACAACCTAGCAGTTTCACACATCATAGAGGGTAACCTTGGTTAATAGAATATCAGCTACATATATAACCTCAAATAGAGATTAAAACCAGAAGCTACTCTCGCCAAAGAAATACTATGCAAAGCCAATTATCGGGGACGATATTATGATAATCGGTGTCTTGCATTAACAGACGAGTTCAAGACAAAAGCAAAGCCAAATTAAGTAAAAATTACACCTTCTAACATCTACATCATAACATTTACTTGAGAAAAGAACCCAAGTGGTCAATCTCATTGCTACCTCATTCAATAAGGTCTGAAGATAGTTACTTTGGTCTTAAAGAACCTGAATACCACCAATCAAATAATTCAATATTTTAAACAACACTAAAGAGACAAAACTCAAGTATATATAGCATTTATCGGAAAACTCGATATTTCATAGGGTTGGTTAATCCACAGATTTCAAGATAAATTAGAAAAATAATTTTTTTTTTGTATTTATGCATAGTTGCATCCAACACTGATATGTGATGAATTCAAAGATTTTTGATTCTTTAGTTGTCTGAATTTCTCTAGAAAATATAGATTTCATAGCTTCATCCGCCACAAATATAGGAAAAGTATATTAATTAAAAGATACAAATAATAATGAAAAAATGCATGTGTAATTTATCAAAAAGAATATATTAGTGGAGAAGATCTCTTAATGTTGCCATGTAATCATATTTTGACTATACACATTTTTACATGGTTTCAAATAAATTATGAATGTCATACTCATCATTATAATTTACTTTTATTATTTTAGTAAATGATTAAATTTAAATGTATTTGTTTCTTTTAATTAGTTTTAAATATATTAATTTGTATTTATAATTTAAAAATAATTTAAAAATAATAAGATTTATATAAGTTAATATTGGCATATTAAATTAAATTATAATTTGAAATTATAAAAACTAATATAAAATTTTAGTATAGTATATTGCTATAAAAGGACACATGTAATCTAATTTCTACACATGTTACAAGGATTTTGCTGGAAAAAATAAACAGTGCTTTTATAAAAATATAAATTATGAAGTATAGTATATTTATTTTTATAAAATGAGTTTCTATGTGTACGGAGTAATAGATAATGGGAGACGTTGGTAAAGTTTAAAATTTGATGTAGTTACAAACTCCAAATTTCTGTTAACGAATCTTTCTTGACTTTGTGCACAAAAAAAAAAAGAATATTTCTTGACTTGACCTGAACAAATCGTTGTTGACTTTATGGATCTTCTTCGAACGTGTCCTTGGCTCTCTCTTCTGAACCAATTCAACTTCTTTTATCGCTCTTATCTGATCCATCGATAAAGAAATTAGGTAAACATTTCCTTCCTTTGGGCATTCTTCATATTCAAATCGTCTGATTGTATCTTTCTGTCGATTATCGAATTTTTTTACAAAATTACTGTTTGTTTTTGTATCAAATAAATCCCAAGCGATCATCTGTGATTTGTATATCTCATTTTTTAGGGGTGAATTACAGGGTAAATCGAACCCATTGAATGGATTTCGTAAAGAATCTAGATACGGACATGTCTTTAGCCATTCTTTCTTGTCTTGATGATGACCCATCAGATCTTGTCCGTGCCAGTGCTGTCTCTCGCTCCTGGCGACACTTTGGTAAGAGGAGGAGACTCTCAGAATCATCTTTTATTACATCTTTATTTAACATTTTGTTTTTTTTCTGGCAGTGATTAAGCAGAGTCTCTCCAAGAACCTGTGCTTGAAGTTATTCCACCAGCTAAATTGCGTGGATCGTATAGTAGAAACAAGCAATGAAGAGTCCTCAGAGTCAAGCACCAGTCTCATGGAGGAGGATACAACAAGGCTACTTGAAAGAGAACACAGGGTTTATGCCTTATTGACTAAAGGATGTACTTCCTCTCCTATCAAAACCTGTATTGAAGATGCCATTACGGCGTCTAGTACTGATAATTTTCCAGCAGAGAGCATCCTGAACACACTCGACGAAAGAGAGAGAGTTGGTGCAACACCTTCCTATTGGTCGAGTGCAGGACACCACAAGAGCTCCGTGCCCGAAACACTTGTTTACAAGCTGAAGGGTGATTTGTGCGTCATTACTGAACTCAGCATCCAGCCTTTCCAAGGTGAGGATCACCATCCTCTTTCATAATTGATATCTTTTGTTGCTTAATGCTTCCTTGTTCTTTTCTCTTTATAGCTTACTTTCATCCCGGTGCACCGATCTACTCTTCACATTATGTTGGTTTCCGGTTTGGTCACTTCGATTTCAATTCACGGGTTACAAAAGATGAAGACAAATATGTATGGACTTACACTTCACAAGAGTTTCCCATGGCTCAGGTGTGTTATATAAGTCATTAATTGTCTTCTTTAGCATTATATATTATCTTGTTCTTAAACTGGTTGTAAGTAACCAATGTTTGGTTTTTGTATTGTTTAATTAGGAAAATCGATTGCAGAATTTTAAGCTTCCAGAGCCAGTTCTTTGCATTGGTGGGTATATGCTAGTAGAGTTTCTAGGTGGAGGAGTTCAGAGATGTGACATTGATGACTTATACTACATATGGTACTTCTTCTTCTTGTTCTCCTCTCCCTTTATGATGACTTTGAAAAGTACGTAGTAGTTTCTGTTGATTGTTTTTTTTTCTGCAGTGTGACGCATGTCAAAGCGATGGGAAGATCATTAGCAAAATCGTTCAAGGTGGTGGATCAGGATCATGAGTCTGGAAAGTTTGGGTTGAAGGTGTTGAGTTACAGTGATCCACAAGAAATGAATGAGAAGGAAGAAGAGGCAGGGCCAAGTGAGTATGTGTGGCATGTTACAGACGAGGATTATTATGATTTTGACGAGGATTATTATGAATCAGACGGGGAGGTTTAGTGTCTGAATCGAGTGTTTGTTTTCTATTTATTTGTTGGCTTTTGCTTCTGTTGTTAAAAGAATCGGGAGATTCACTGTGAGCAAATAAACTTACATTGAGAGTATGTTACTATGCGTTGGGTAGCTTACGAAAACAACCGCTTTTTCTTTGTTGGTGAGACTGAGTTCCTCAATAGTTAAAAGGCGCCATTAATGGAAGGATGAAAGTACCTCGAGGATATGGATGGTCTAACCTGTTTTACAAAATTATTATTATGTCAGGATGATATAATTCTCAAAAATGCGTCCAGAGCATGATTATCCCTAAGTCCTTAGTGGAGTTCTTAGTGACTTTTTCAGTAATAAATGTAACTTAAGATTTTTTGTTAAGAAATTCCCATTTTGAATGGTCCAATGGGAGTTTCTTAATCAAAAGTTCTTAAAAAAAATAACTGCTCTAGTGCATCACTTACATAGACAAAGACTGTAAACTCTGAGTAATCGATCATCCCTTCAAACGGGAGATCTATGTTGCCGCTGGCAATCACAGGGATTCAAAGGGTTTATGTGGCATCAAAGAGACGGCATGAAGTGTGAGTGTCACCGGCTGGATGCAAGCAGAACTCTGAGTTTCTCATTCCTCTTATAGACTGCTCTCTTCCCGTTGCATTAGGAAAACCTTCTTCCATGACAATGTCGTGTTCATCAACCTTCCATGACAAGTTCAACATTCCATGACAAGTTCAACATAGTTTTTCACTTATCAACCTTCCATGACAAGTTCAATATATAAGAGATACATAAAACAAAGACTAAACAACTAAAATTAGGATTCAATTGTTTTAAATGCCAATTTATGAATAATTACACACAATTCATAGAAGCACACGCAAACAAACATTCTCTCTGAGCCATGAACTCACTAACAATCACAGTTTTTTCACTGAACTTGGACTCTGAATTCTAATATTGAGAATGATGGCGATAATTATTTACATATATGGCTCCTGATTTGAAAAGTCTTTATTACAGAAACTTATGAATCGAGAAGATGTCATGAATATTCTCTTATGTTATGAGAGCACTTGTGTATATATATACAAACATAAGAAACGATGAATACATTAACACTCAGGATGATATAATTCTCAAAAATGCGTACTCAATCATACATATATTATGTCAGGATGAAACGAGGCAACAACATGTGCCATTAATACTCTCTCAGCAAATTTAGGAGAGTTTATACTACAAGGACAAATATCACCAATGTGGGGCCGGATGACATTGTCCAGATAATCTCAGATACGTACGACACAAGGCAAGCTTGAAGCTCCCAAGCTTTGTTATCACGTATGTTTCCACGCGAATGGCTTTGAAGCCATGCAAGCCTAGTTGTATATCTATTTGGAATAGGTAAAAGTGATTAATTCACATCTGAACTGATTTTTGGAACTAAGAAAAATGTGACAAAATAAAACTTTAGTAAAGGGGAACAATAATTTTAGCGGTGGAAAAAAAAATACAGAACCACCTTTAGTTAACAATGTTGGTCTTTCATACTTGACATGAACGATTACTTAAAAGAATCTCCGATGGGAGTCTTTAAAGGAGAGTATTTGGGGAAAAAATAATTAAATAATTAACAAACTCCACAAAAAGTTAAAGAATTCAATTTTTAAAATTTTTAAACAAAAACTTTTTCTTAACTAATTTTTGCACTATTTACGGATCCCTACAACATGTGACAGTCCGTAATTGGTTGGTATTTTTTTAACCTGAAAAAATAATAATATAATTAAAAACTAAAAAAATAGATTTTCTTAAGATTCAAAGGGGATAACACCGTTTGGAAATGCTCAAAGTAAATCGTAAGCAGTCATATATCTGATCATATACAGTATAGACTATACAACCATGTGATGAACTGTATATGATGGAGTGCTTGCAATTCCGTAGTGGAGTTGGTTGAACACTATTAGGGCTGGGCACAAAGTTGTGACCCAAAATCTGAAGTGAATCTATATATCTGTCCATCATGTAAAAAAATATATTTGAATGGGCCTTGTAGAATATTACAAAACATATTTAAGTCTCAAGTGTTAAATCGAAAGTGGACGGTTAACCCGAAAAACTGAAAAATCCAAAAACATATTCGAAAAAACCGATCTGGATGTTTAAATTAATATACAATATAAATATTTGAACATAAAATATATATTTCAAATATTCAGTTTCATATTTATTTTGATATGATATCTAACACAAAGTACTTAAAATTTAATTGAGTATCTTAAATACTCATTTTATATAAATAAGTATATATTTCTTATGTTTTGCTTTTACAGTTAGATTTTATTTTGTGTATATCCGAACCAATCCGATACATCCCAAATCCGAATATACAACTAACCTGAAACCAATGCGTTATATTTAATCCTAATCCATACTTACAAAATAGAACTAAAAACAAAAAAAAAAAAACGATCAAACTCGAACAAGTATCCAAACCCCATGACTAACTACTATTATCATTGGAGAGGGACATGGTTCTACTACCTGACACACCTTCCCCTTTAGAGTTGGGAGGCGGGTAAATCCGTCTCACTTAGAGCATCTTCAAGAAGGAACCTTATTTTAAGGGTGGAGAATCCTTAAAATGAGATTTGAGGGTGTGTTACTCGAAGAAGAAACCTCAAATCTATCTTGAAAATTTTATACTATTTATATTTTAGTCCCAAATTTTAATATAAATTAATGATAATCACTAAAATGTATATAGATAGATAATACTACACTTTAAAAAAATTAAACATAATATTTATAAATACAATTTATATTAAAAAATACATAACATAATAATAGAAAACACACATTAATTCATAAAAAAATAAAAATAAAAATTGCTCGCTACTGCTATTTTCATAATGTTCCCGATAGATGATCATTCAACCCAAAGTGTTCTATTTAAGTACAACTCTTTTATATTATCTTTTATTTTATTTTTGCATATTTATATATTTTATGTATTAATTACATATATAAGATATATTTGAATATTTCAGACAAATATATTTATAAAATATAGTTATAAGGAGTAAAGTGATAAGAAAATTAATATAAATACAATTATATGTAAGATATAAAATATAGAGACTAAACTGAAAAGTAAATGGTGTTTTGAGGGCATGAACAGTAGACCCTCAGATTTGAGGTTTCACTATTCACGACCTCAAAATTTGAGGGTTTGAGGATATTTTGGAAAGTCAAAAACTTCAAAATTTGAGGGTTTAGGGCCTCTTGGAGATGC